GACGCACGATTGGTCTCGGCCACTACTGTCCTGTGCAAACTGAACTGAACTGAACTGAATCTGCGTGACCTTGAACTCGTCGCTTCTAGCACGGTGGTCAAACACGTGGTTCCCTTAGAGAATGGGCAAAAAGATAAAGACCGGAAAGGCTAGGAAGGATAGGTTTTACTTTCTTGCAAAGGAAACTGGTGAGAGTCCTCCACAAAATTATCTATGATTTAATAGGGTTTCGATCTCGAGCTGCTTTCAAGTTGATCCAGTTGAATAGGCGGTTTAATTTTCTCAATACATCACGCGTCTTGATAGATCTTTGTGCTGCTCCGGGAGGATGGCTTCAGGTTGCTTCAAAAGAAATGCCTATTTCAAGTCAGATCATTGGAGTCGATCTGGTGCCCATTCAACCAATACCACGCGTGAAAACATTTGTAGCTGATATTACAACCGATAAATGCCGCCAGGTAAATTTTCAGCACTTGTAGAGTTATACTCTGGTTAGTTGATACGCCAGGAGCTGTTGCAGGAAAAAGCAGATGTCGTTCTCCACGATGGAGCCCCCAATGTTGGCACAGCCTGGTCAATTGACGAATACAGTCAAGGTATTGTGGAAACATTGTAGTTCCTAATTAAATAGCGAATCTTTGTCTTCAGGCCTTCAGTTTGGCTACAGAAGTATTGCGGAAAGGGGGGTGGTTTGTGACGAAAGTTTTCCGCAGTCGCGATTATGAGCCTCTCAAATGGGTTTTGTCGCAATTTTTCCGCACTGTGCGAGCCATCAAACCCGAAGCGTCTCGCTTGGAGTCTGCTGAAATTTTTCTCATCGGACAGTTTTACCGCGCTCCTGATCGAATAGATCCTCGTTTTCTTGACTCTCGTCACGTATTTGGGGAAATAGAACAGCCAAAGGACCGAGCAACTGTTGTTTCCTCTCTTCTTCGAGAGAATAGGAAAAAGAAGTAGGCTGTTCGTTTAGTTTTATTCCGGTTTCTAGGAAAGCAGAAGGTTATGCCGAAGGAGATAGCCTTTACCACGAGCTGAAACTTTCCGAATTTCTGAAGTCATCGGACCCTTTAGAGGCTCTTGCTAAAACGAACAAGGTTGGTCTTGATATAACTGTACTTCAATGGTTAGATCGTCTTAGATTTGCCGGATGTTGCAAATCATCCGTTGACAACTTCGGCGGTTAAATCAGACATAGAGGACATTCAGGTTTTGGGGAAGGCTGACATCAAGTAAGTCCCGTGGTAATTATTCGTTGTCGACTGGACAGGTAGAAAACCACAGAATAATTTTCCATTGCTGATGACACTGATTAATCATTTTTTCATGTTGATACAAGTTATTTGGTTTTCATCCCCGGTCTGAAGATATACGGTAATGAATGGGCAGGTGTTATCAGCTAAAACACTGAAAATCCCAAATGAACTCATTTTTCAGTACATCTGCATTGAAATAATATAATAATAATAATGTCATTCACTCCAAATTACTTTAAGCAGTCAATGTGTTGAGTTAAACCGGAAGCAATAATACAAAAATAAGACGAGGCATAAAGGAAAACTCCCTGCTCGCAGGCTTCGAGTTTTATCTGTAGTTCAGAGTGGAGGATGCAAGTTGGGATCTGAGCAGTTCAAGTCGTAGTCTTCAAACACATCAGTTGCTCCATGTTTCCGCCAATCAATTTTTATTTATTAAGGTTTGATTTGCAAGAGAAGTAAATCAAAGCACGGCTCCGCATTTATTACCCACACTACGAAATCGGCCAG